GAGTTAACCGCATGAGAGCAAGAGTATTTGGAGGAGCTTCACGAACGAAGAGATTGGGAGGAGCGCGATCGACAACTCGTGGAAGCCAGGGAAGCTAAGGTGGCCAACGTTCAGAACAATGGTGATGAAGGTGCGTTAAATTTCATTATCCTTGAGGACAAGGAAAGTCTTGAAGAGGAGGGGAATGATACGGAAGTGGTTATTAACCCGGTGAGTCAAGTGATGGGATGGTTGAGGATCTCGATTTGTGGTTGGAGAATATGTTAGAGGAGCCATCTAGTCCGATTTACCGACCATCATGTGTGAGAGATTGGCTAAAAGGATGTGGTCCAAGGTCAAAGCTAAAGCTAGGAAACGCAAGGCAAAGAGACGACTGAAGATGAAGGCTAAGAAGGCGAGTCATTGTTGCGGGCCTTGTGCGAGGAAGAAGCGGGCATGGAAGATGGAGGCTCGATGTAACACCCCACTTTGATTTTAAAGAAATTCCGGACTTTCCAAAAATCAGTGTAAAATTTTCAAAATCATTTTCGAAAATTCAATGGGTGTTAAACAACATTTTTCATAACCCAAGTCTTATCTGGGCTCACGGGGATTCATTACCCGGTTTTCACAAACGGTTTTCATTAACCGAAACATATCACGAGACATAAATCTCAACATGAATATATAACCAATCCATAATACCCAACAATCCGGGTTCCACAAATTTCTAAAACAAGCAAGTCATAAGTTCTGGAAAATACCATAATCAAGTCTCAACATAAAGGTCCATAATGCCTTATTTATTCATACGGAAGCGGTAAATAAAAAAAATGACCGACCCACTCGCCTCTTCTCGTCACCCAGCTCCTGCTTAACCTGCATCGGTAAAGAGCAGGTGGGGATGAGCACTAGATGAAAAGCGTGCTCACCACTATGCACATAAATAATACATGTTTAGATGGTATGGTCGCAGTATGAATATAAATCAATCATCATCATGTCTCATCTCCTAACCACAACAATAACTCACTCATGTGCACATCTATCATTAGCCGCGGAAAGGGGATGCATAAACCCTAACGTCAGGAGTGCGTGCCACTGTAACGGACACGACCTTTCATTAGGTCTTAAGGAGACTTGCCTCGCAAGGGCAACCGTACCGTAACTCGACGGAGACAACCGTACCGACGGCCGTAACAGCTCACATCAGTAGGCCACATGGTT